TTTCATTTTCGCATTACGATTTTCACGTTGTGATTTTTATTTCGCATTGCGATTATCCCGTTGCGATAGTCAAATTTGCATTGCGATAGTCATTTCCGCGTTGCGATAGTCATTTTCGCGTTGCAATTTTAAGTTTCGTGTTGCGACTATTCTTCTTCTGCAAATTGAAACTTGAATGGATTGCATTACTTCAACCAAAAGACAAAACAAAGACAAATACTAACTTCACAGGGTTATTTTATAACTATTTAGCAGTATTGGCAGCAACCGAATAAATTTACTAAGCAATCTAAGTGAAATGGTTAATCTAAGTGAAATTACGAGTAAATCAAGTTAAATATGAAAAATCTTAAACTTACCTCGTTGCGTAGAGTATGAACCTCATTCTGTAACGATGATATCATCTCACATAGAGCCGCTACCTCACCACGTAAAGTAGATACCTCATCACGCCATGCACCATTGTCATCGCGTAAAGTACCGACCTCCTCACGCAAGGCATTGACCTCATCACGTAACTCCCCTAACTCATCCCGTGGAGGTGGAGAACAGGGAGATAAATGTCATGGCATCTTTACCGGTTGCCTATCATGAGGTGATGGTGGAGAAGAGGCTCGATGATGTGACAGAATAGGTGATGGCTCTCGTTGTAGAGGTGTATAGTGTGGTCGATCAGATGATGGCTCTGGGTGAGATGATGGCTCTTGAAGTGGAGGCTGCTCGTCATCCGTGCCATCAAAAAAACACTTACTAGCTTGCCACCAATCAGTGGCAAGCTCAGCCTCTGTAATGGAGTGTTGGCCTCCTAACAATATAAAAGATCAAACAAAGTTAAACGTGTACTAGTAATAACTTGTTTATATATGGTAGTATTTGTGTTAACTTACATCATTTATTGTCGTATACAGTAGTAACTCTTCCCAACTCAACAGCCGCTGTTTCCTCTTCCAGGAAATAGCTCTAGGAATATCATTTGAAGTTTTTAATGCATATGTCTGCATGTCGGGAAAAGCCTCAAATATCCAAATCTACAAACAATATAATACACAAACATTAGTAATTGTTAAATAATTAATTATAATTTTGGAAACATTATATAGAAATTCTTACCTTAAAGGCCCAAATAAAATCTGACAAAATGTATTTGGAACCATCGCCACGCAAACTTTTGCGGTCATCAAAGGCAGACGACAACTTATTCCAGGTGGCTTTCCATAGATACGAACCCCACAGAAACAAGTTCCATGAATTTAGGTCCTCTACCAATACTATTAGGTCCTTAGGAATAGGTTGTCTGGCCTCTCTGCCTAAAAAGTCGGCATGCAAAAGTACTAAAAGGCATACTCGGACAACATCGATGTCATCCATCCGAGTAAAACCATCTTTCTTATTCAATAATCTCGTCAAGTCGTCGACGTGTAAATTCGGCTTCTCCATTGACAGCTCAGGAAAAACCCGGGATAACCATGATGGGCGGGTAATATGACTAGTGTATCGACCTAGATCATCGTGTCCGAAGCGTAGACCAGTGATTAAGCAAAACTCCTCCAACCCAAAACACGTATACGCCGGTGGAAAATGAAACCATATCTCTTCATTACCACGTTTTATACTCTCGGGTAGATCGCTAGTCATGGTCTGAAGCCACAAATGGATCAACATAGCATCTCCACCCGGATGTTGAACTTTCAGCCATGGTCCGAAGCAAGTATCCTCAAATAATTTTCTTTGTACAGGTGAAAGCTTTGACGCAATTGTAGTGACTAGGCTTATTTTATTCCTTAAGGTCAATTGAGCCGAAAAAAAGTTCGACAAAAACAATAAACATACCAAGTTAGATATACCAAAAACTATACTGTGAAGATATACCAAAAACAATAATAAACATAAAGAGTAGTAGTTTATTCTTCAAACTTAAATCTGCAACACTGTGAATTTCGTATTTGTCTTTGTTTTTTTCTTGAAGTAATGCAATTCATTCAAGCTTCAATTTGCAGAAGAATAATAGTTTCTAAAACTTAAAATCGCAACACGAAAATGAAAATTGTAACATGAAAATGACTATCGCAACGCGAAATGAAAATCGCAACGCGAAACTAAAATTGCGTTGCGATTTTGTCGTTGCGATTTTCATTTCGCGTTGCAATCCTCGGTTTCAAATAGTCATTGTCTAAAATTAAAACTTGAATGAATTGTATTACTTCAACCAAAAGACAAAACAAAGATAAATACTAACTTTACAGGGTTAAAGACTAAACAGTTTAGCAGTATTGGCAGCAATCGAATGAATTTAATAAGCAATCTAAGTGAATTTGTTAATCTATTATTGAAATTACCAGTAAACTTATCATCAATTTCAATATGAAAAACCTAATAATAATGCAAAAATTTCAAAATAAAAATAATTAAAAAAACTAACCCTCGGTGGTTGATTTGGTTGATTTTCCATTTCTGATCGTGAATGATTGTGAAGGTGGCTCTGAGAGATGGAGATAGACAGATTTCACCGGAGATGGGGACGGATTTCGTCAGAGATGGGGACGGATGTCGCCGTAGAGAGTGAGAGATGGAGATAGGACTGAGTTGTGATTTAGGGTTTTAGGTTAAGAGTTGTAATTACGGGATATATTAATATTCGTGTTTGGAATTTGAAAATAAAATACGCATTGCGATACTAATGGCGCTTTGAAAATTGCATTACGATTTTGTTTTATCACAACGAGATAGTCAGGATCGCTTCAGAATCGCGTTGCGATAGTCAGAATCGCGTTGCGATTATGTATTATCGCGTTGCGATAGTCAGAATCGCGTTGCGATTATGTATTATCATGTTGCGATAGTCAGAATCGCGTTGCGATTTACATATTCGCATTGCAATTTTCTAAAATCGCAACGTGAATTTGGAAAATCGCAATGCGATAGTCAAAATCGCGTTGCGAATCTGGAAACTGATTTGCGATACTGGAGATCGCGTTGCGATTTAGAGATCGCATTGCGATTTTGTTAGTCATTTTGGCAAATCGAAAAAAAGTTGGTCAAAATCGTATATTATAAGGAATTTTCGGTCACTGAGGTTATTTTCTCAATAAAGAAGGTGAGCATATCTTATGTATTTCGAAATTACTGACAAAAAATAGACAAACTAAAAACATGAGTGATCATCCCTGTAGTTAACCCTATATTTTAATATGAATTTTAATTTAAGCTAAGGTGATTACAAAATAGTTTGTGTTCTAATTACTCTAAATCATTTGACAATGAACGCTCAATCATTTTACTGTAGTCGTTGGTATTCAAAACCGTAACTTTTAGGAACAACGATGATTCCTTTAACTACTAAAGTAAGATGATATATAGTACAATTATAATATGAATCAACACTTATATTTAAAATTGATTGGAATGAAATAAAAATAAATAAAATATATCAATGAATATTGAGAAGGAACGTCTGGTATAACTGAATCCGTTTGCTTATGTATTTGGAATTAAAAGTGACGGATTTGATATTTTTCCTAGAGGCATAAATTAGATCAGAATGGATAATTTTAATTTTTTTATTTATTTTATGTTTAGATATTTTCTTCTAAACATGATATAAAAATCCTTTTAATTAAATTTGAGAAGTTGTGGAATGGTTTAGCAGTGCCCGCCTGTTTCTGTAACTCTATGGGAACAAATGGGTTTGATAATTTATTTGCTAATTAATTGTTTTCTAAAATCCCTGAAATAAAATTGACTGGTTGTTATTCAATATAATTATTCAGTTTTATTAAAAGAATATAATTATTTAATTATGTACAGCTGAAAGATTAGGATAATGTCATTAATATTTTTCTTTATTAAATTAAATATGATAATAAAAAATCATATTATTAATATATTCGTGTTTCAAAAAAATCATTGGTATCATAAAATTTAAAAAAGAAATGCGCAGGGTTTTAAAAATTATTCATACTATAAATTTTCAAAAATAAAATATGCGTTCAACGACTTCAATGATAAAACATTATTTCAACCAGGATTTTTGGACTGTCTGAACCACATAACTCAAGTTGGATTCTTAAACGAATTCTGAAAATTCGAAGCATAGTCAGGATTGTGTTGCTTTCTTCTGCATCTAACACTACGCAAATTTGGAATGAGATTCGGCCTAAAAAAAGCAAAGTCATATGGCATAAGTTGATCTAGTTTTCTCTCCATGTACTGAAACATAGTATTATTTCTTGGATGCTCATTCTGGATCGTCTCCCTACCAATGACATATTACATTAATTCGGGTTACTTTCTAACGCTGATTGTATCTTCTGTAATGATGGAATCGAAACAAGATACCATCTTTTTTGCACTTGCAGGTATACAGCTTCTATTTGGACCTCTCTGCTCATCCTGTCCGGTTTCCATATGTCTTTCTCGTCTTGGTCCAGCATGCTGGAATGGGCAGCAACCTCATGGAAGGGAAAAATCTTTGATTTCAACTGTTCTGAGACTTTCTTGGTGTGGGTTTAATTACATCATTTGGGAAGAAAGAAATCGAAGGATTTTTACGGGAAAAAGCCGAAGCACCACTGAAATCATCAACAATATTAAGATGATTGTTGGGATTGTTCTTAGTAATAGGTCCATTGATAGAAACGATAACATTAACTTAACTTTATGTAGCAATTGGGGTATAGCTTAATTTTGATTGTACATATGTTCCCCTTTCTTTTGAACTTGATTGTATTGTTTTGTAGCATGTTCTGCTAATTGGGTAATAAAGCTTAATTATCCAAAAAAAGATAAAACATTATTGTTGTTGTTAAAAATTTTGAATTCAAACAATTAGATTTGTGAAGCGTGTGCATCGTCATAGACTAATAAAATTTTATACGAATATAAAAAAATAAAGAGGTAAACGAAACTCATTTGTATTAGCATTTTTTGGTAATTTTATGAAAATCTTATTATAATTTGCTGCTAATCATTCCTTAAATTTCCACAATTATAAAGTGCAAAAATGGAAGATCAATTGAGTGGGTTTATTTAAAGAATTGAGGTGTACAGAATGTTTGTAAGAACACAAAAAAAAGTTTCTCTGTAACAAAACCCACTTCTGTTTTTGTCTTAAACTTGAGGATCCTTGTCTGGAATTTTCACTTCTTGGCATTCTTTCTCTAGACCCAGATATACTGTTCCATCCTTATCTTTCATCTGAATAATCGAAACATAAACATTCGTTAACATGCATTTCGAGTCTAATATTTTTATCCGAGCCCCTTCCTAAATATTTGATCAATTTGGGGTCCTGGTAAATCATCTGATTCTTGAACAGGTCTAATAATGTGCGTATGCATTACCTGAGACCCTAATGGATCAGCTTGTTTCTTCTTGTTCTCTTGGGTGCAAAAATAAGAATACAAGCCCATCCCAAACATGGCAATCAAGATCCCAATGATGTTCCTCTCGGTGAAAGGGTCATGCAACAGTGTATACCCAAAGGCAAGGACTAAGCAAGTCTTGAGGTGGCCTAGAACTTGATATGTCACCGGTGATGTCTTGCCTATAACCAGAAATGTGCTGAAGTTTACAGATACCGAGATTATGCAAGAAAGGATGATAAATCCCTGCAAAAATAATCAAAGTATTGAGGACCAGAACACAAATTTGAGCATATTAGATGAAATATGGCGTAGAAAGAGAGGTTCGGTTTCCTTACCAAGACAATAGGGGAATATTTGAAAGCAAAGACATTTTGTTTGGTCAGGAACTGGTCGACCATAGGACCCGAGACAAAAAGAATGGCTGCTTGAAACGGGGCTGATTGGTACAGCAACTGGGTTGAAGATACATTCAGCCTCTTCTGTATGGTGTTCGTCAGCTATGTTGTTCAAGTTAAGAACAAAACCTTTCAAGGGTTAAATTGAAGATCACAACAGTGCTTTTGATATGTCAAATTAAAATTGTTTGCATCTCTGGATATATCTTCTGGACACGTTCTTCAACAATTGTGCCTTCGTTTACTATTTTTTTAGAGTCTCCTACTACCTATGATGACGATAGTCTTATGATTGAACTTCTAATACTAAGAGATAAATTCAATATATCATTATCTTATGCCTGACATCATCCTATAATAAGGATGATTTACTATATTATATCTCAAGAAAAGATTAAATACAACACTTTCTCTCTTCAAGACTTAATCTACACTAAGGATGAATTGAGAGGGATGAGTCGCGGTAACAAAATTTAAAATTATTATATATTTTAGATTTTTTTCTATGTATTTTTTTTATTAAAATTCTATTTTTGTTCCCTAAAATTTTATAAGTTCAAGTTCGTCCCCTTACATAAAGTCTTGCATCCATCCTTGATCTATCTCCCATACAGAAAAATATTGGTCAACGACTCTCTATCCAAATCAAAAGAGGTAAACTGCGAGCCGACAAGACCATGTTGTTCCCAACAATAAAAGTACACTATTAAAAGGAAGCAAATGCCATTAAAAGAAAGGGATACGATTTGGCCAACACATGTTGTGGCGATGGCAAGGAGAGAAAGGATTGTGCCAACAAAGTTGAGTTGGACATCAGTGATAGAGGCAATGCCAACTCCAACCAGTAAAAGGAAGAGTGACATCTTTATCTTTTGGCTGCACAGGGTCCAACACAATCATTTACGGTTACTCAAAAGTGCTCAAATATGGTAAGCAAATGGCAAAAAAGGGACCTGAATTGCTTGTTTAGGAAGATGGTCTCCAGTAACACAGTGAATGGTATGATTGCAAGTTTAGTCATCTGCAAAAAAAGAGGTACCAAAAACAATGAAAACCCAAATTTATGGTCTAAAAAGGTAATACATGTGAAATCAAACCCCACCTGGTAGAAGCCAATGGAGTTGAACCCAAGGCTCAAGTTGAGAAGGCCGATGGAAACGCCATTTAGGATGCCAAAGAGCACCACAGTCTTCATGTCTATCGGTTTATTCTCGAACAGGTTGAAGCGTTGCGCCGCATGGAGGGTGCAAAACGTTACCATCAGATGCCAGCTTGTGAGCGTTGTGGCTGCGAGAATCAAAACAAAATCAACTTTATACGTTCTCAAACCCCACCGAATTCAAAAGCTAAACAGGTGAAAAGAAAAGAACGATGAGATTACCGAAAGGGAAGCCAAGATTGCTCATCAAAGCTTTGTTGCAGATGACAATGGAGACAGATGATGCAACTGACAGAAACAGGGCAGCAATAACACCCATTTGGAAGCTTGAACTCTCTCCCATTTTTACTGTAAAAAAACATATATATACAGTATTACAAGATTAAAAGGAAACGATCATATTTTGAAGAAGTATAGAATTGTGTGACTCTCCATCATTTATTATGGCCATAGAATAAAATTAACTAAAATGTTGATTTTGTAATTCCTTACCATATATTAAACAAGTAATTAAATTATTTTAATTAAGCTAACCAAATTTAATGAAAAAATGATGTGCATGAATTAATGGAATGACGCATAAACAAACGATACCTTGCAACAAAGCAGGTAGATTTAGGTTTGAGTTTAAGGAAGCCCTGAGAATCAAGGAAGAAGGAACTTTGAAAAGAGTAGAAATAAGAAATACGAGATTATTTACAGAGCAGCGACTGGGAAAATGGAGTGTTGAGAGAGCTTTTTGAGTTGAAGAAAACTAAGAGAATAAAGGGTTTTAAGCAGGCTGTTTTTTAAAAGGTTAGATTGCTAAGAGGGTTGGTGCCTAACGCTGGTTCAGTTTCTGGATGAGAGGTGACGATCAATTTAAGCAAGGAACAAAACCATTACATTTTATATTGCTCTTGGGATCATATGATAAAACCACATTTCCTTTCCTCTTTAACCCGGATATATATTATGTTTCCAAAAATACTTTCTATTTTCTATTCAATATAAGGGTAATTACACCGTTTACACCCTACACTGAACTTTGATTTTAATTTTAATTAAGTCACCGAGCCTTAAATTTTAACAACACGGTAACATGGACATACCATTCTGTCACTATGATAACTACGACAAAGCGACATCATTTTGACAATGATTATTAATACCCAAAATGAAGTTGTTTTAGGCATTAGACTTTAAGGTTGTAGCAATTTTGTCAATAACCTTTTAAATAGTTTGTTTTTTGATATTTTACTTTTTCTGCTGCCTTCGACAACTGATCATTGTTCATCATAGGTCGTCTTTCGTGACAAGATTGATAATAAAATGTTCGGATTTCACTCCTCTTTCTTCTCCTAGGATTAGTTTCCCATGAAACACACTCGAAATCGATGGAATCCATTTAAGAGTTCAGCGTGCTAATACTCCAACATCTTTCGATGACTATTCGATGAGGTCAATTTTGATTTATGTTGTTCATCTTCTCAAAGTATTACCTCTTATAGTTCGAATTTTTGAACAAAATCCCAAAACCTAAGAAAGTTACTAAACCCCTAAAAATGATAGATTTTTTGTTTAATTTTATTGATTTTGAGTGAGTTTCATGAAAACTAATCCTAGGAAAAGAAAGAGGAGTGAAATAAAAATAGTTTAGTACCGATTTTGCCACGGAAGGCGACCAATAACGAACAATAATTGGTTGTCGACGGTGACTAGAAAAATGCAGTGCAAAAATTGGAACTCTTTAAAAGTTCAGTGGTAAAATCAATACATTCTTAATGTTCAGTGCCTAAAACAACGTTGTTTTAGACATAAATAGTCGTCCCAGAACGAAGTCGTGTTGTTCATGTCACTGTTTTGGATTTTAATGGTTCAGTTGCATAAATGAAGTTAAATCACAATTCAGTGTTATAATTGAAGAAATTCAAAGTTCAACGATATAAACGATACACCACCTGAAGTTCAATAAAATCTAGTATAGTTTAATGTAAATTTTATCCTATACTAACAAAAATAATTCAAATTTCAAAAAAAAAAAAAAAATTGAACCCTCCATTCTTATCCAATTTTTACCACCTCCGTTTCATAGAATCAAACACATCTAATAAATCTAGGATCATCAATCTAAAAAATCATCAAATTTAGAATAAATCCTAAAAGCTACAATGGCAGCCCTATCTCCATAGTTTTCACTATGCCTTTTGGTGGTCAAACTGATTGATGAAATTACTTGAAGCTTTGAAAAGCAAGTGGTAAATCCTACTCCAATGGTGGAACCTTCCAAAGCATGTTAGGATTTAGGGATAAATGTTGATCAATGATGAGAACCTTGGCACACAAGGCAGGAAGGTAGGATGAACATCTTCTTAAATGAAAATGAGGGGTACCCCCCAATGCAAGCAAACTGGTCTTGCCATCCTCAATACTCAATATTGGAGTTTGGTGACAATAATTATAAAAAAAAAGACTTCATTTTCACTCATGAACACCAACCAGTCAAAATAAATATTCCCCAATATACGGCTTTGCTGTGTGTATTGTTTTGTGGTGATGATGCCTCAACTACTTCCCCCTCTAAAGATGCTTTTACTTTAGCAGTTAGCTGGCTGTATAATCCCTTTCTTTCGTTACTATTTTCACATGCTTTGAATATTTGGTCGATTTATGATTTTAATCCCTCTATTATCCTCTAATTTGACATTTGGTTCGACATAATATGATCCCTCCTCTTTTATAATGTCATCGATCAAATCTAAATAGCTCATCGTTGACAATTCTGGTTCAAATAATGATTGGATTTTCCCTTAAAAACATTCATTGAACTAATCATGCTGACATGATTTTCTTTTTCATGTTAGAAGAGGTGTTTCACGGCGGCATAATGTTAAAATTAATCTGTAATATTTGTCTGAATTATCACGCTAATTCATCTTCTTTTTCTAATACTTTAGCTCTTAGTGTTTTAATTTTCGGTCAAAATGGTTCATTTTTTTTGGAAACCTTTAGTTGATTAACTGTCAATGTATATAGTTGATATGTCAATTTCACATGTCTTGAATTGTTAATGTGTCACATGTTATGTCACACTAGATGATGGCATGATATATGACATATCATTCAAGATGATGATGAGGCATGTGTCACGTCACTCAAGTTAATGATATAGGATATGATACGTCAATAATTAAACATACGTAAAAATGTCATGTTAACAACCTGCCTTGAACATTAGTTAACTAATGGTGGAGATTATTCTATTATTTGACCGTAAAAAAAACCATGCAAGATCCACAAGGAATTTACACCAGAAAGGGGAAATTCCAGGTTTCTGCAAATCATTTGCAGAAAAAAAGTATTCAGTTCCAAGGGTAAAAAAAGGTTCAAATGCCAAAATTTTCCAATGCAGACAGCAGTAGACAGGTCAATGTTTCATTACAAGACAAACTTTGTGTGCCTTTTCTTTTTCATTGTCTGTTGTCCTTTTTGATGTAATGATGATGTAAATTAATACCAAAGGGGTCAAAAAAAATATTTTAAGTATTTGATGAAATCAGCTGAAAGCTCCCCACTGCCTTATGAACAAATAAATTTGCACTTTGGCTTTACACAATGATTTGGTGGTTCACTCACCAGCTTTCGGTGACAAAGAAAGCTTAACTGACAATTTTCTTTATGGAAATGCTACAATCGTCATAGTTCTTCATGATGGTAAAAAAAAAATCACCCTTCTTTTTATAACTGTAAAACTCTTGAGATACAAGAAAGTGTGGGTTAGGGAAATGAGTCCACCCTCTTGCACTTAAGGGAAAAAAAGTCACCCAAAGTTCAAGCCAATGAGGGGGAGGGAGAGGGGGTGACAATGAGGGTGGGCTGGGGTAAAAGATGGTAAAAAAAGTTTATCCCTTTGCATTTGTAAGCTGAGTTATGTATGCCAAGTCTGCATCTGCGATTCGCTTCTGAAACATCGCCCACTCGATTTTGCATCTTATTCTAACCTGTGAATAGAAATGAAAAGAAATATATGATGTCGGAAGGTACATTAAATGATGCCGGAATTCGTAAATATGCGTACTGCATCTCGAGGAGATATCCCGGCATGAGGTTCACCCTGAAATTTGACAAAACGAAGGGTAATGAGAATATAATCATGACTGCCGTGATAAACAAGTTATGTTGAAACTCATAGTAACAAGCAACCAGATATAGATAAAAACTTATGTTCATCCAATAGATAATTTGAATGAAACATACAAGGAAAGTATACGGGGGACTATAAAGCCAAAACACCATTCATCATATATCACAGCCAAAATATCTGCCAAGCCGACGAGGACTTGCCTGGTTCCCAAGAGTAGGAATCACTTGATGAACTATCCACTCTGAATCTACAACGCCAATTTTTTCATGTGCAGGCTATGGAGAAGAAAACGAAACATGTGTCAGATACGAGTACTTGAAGAAAATTCTTGAAGAATCAGAGCAACATAGTCGGAGACCAGCGAATAACAGAAAGGAAACGGCAAAAATAGGCAGAAACCACTTACTGTGACACATCTTCTGAGAGCAAAATCCAATCCCCATCCATGCACCAAATCATTCTACAAGTACATGATTAGTTAAGCATTTAGGAAGACTATCGAAAAGGAGCTCAAGAAATTGTACCAAGATATTATGTAAATTTATAGAAAACATTGTTGTATGCTCCTAATCTGTCTTCATTCTGTTTCCATCATCGGAAAAGTTGAGCATGGAGCAAACTCATTGTGAAAGGTGTTATGGGAATGAACCGATTCACGTCCGACGACTTGGAAGCCATTCAAAATTAAGTACAAATATTAAATAGGTACTTATGTTGGGAGGCAGGCTGCAAATAGGAAGTGCAATGTATCTGCAGGCATGTACATATTCTAAACAATGTGGCCTAAGTCTACAAAAATCCTTAAGCACCCTTTACCTGAATCAAATACCATACACATCGCCAAGCTTCCCGAGAAAATACAGGCGCCATAATTTCCACAAACCTGAAAGAACGTAAAGAGTAGTAAATGCACCTAGAGAAAAGAAGAAATTCGGTTTAAGGGATGCTAACAGTGGAATGCACTACAGATTCACAAATCAGGAATACTGCTCAAGAATTGCCAACTATTATTCTCCAAACAGACATACTATTCCATTAAATTGTAAAGAAAGAGAGCGAGCGAGCGAGAGAGAATACGCGGCACAGGCTGGAAAACGTGGATCACTACACCAGCCAGGTTTCTCTTTGGTAAACCTGCGAACCAAGTCGAATCGAAGAACTTCAAAGTTAAAAAGAGAATAAAGAAGCATGGTTGTTGATGGTGTGCACACAAGACAGAACCTACTTGTGAACTTCTCCGTCATTTCTCCTCTTTGTCATCTGCCATGTCAGTGCATAATTGGGCTCCAAACCTGGTTGTGAGATCTCCAGGCCATGTTTCTTGACGAGTTTGATATATCTGGTAACATGTGCAGAGAACATTAGAATGGCAAAAATATATATAAATGTCGAAATCAAGTTCGAAAATATAACCGGTTGAAAAGAAAAATCTATCTGCATTGAAGTTTTGCACTCCCAGATCTTCATCCCAGATAAATATATATTCATAAGCTGAAACAATATCCGGATGTAAAAACCTTTTTGCATACCACCTAGTGTATAAGAGCAGAAAATGAGAAGGGGCAGCAACATTATCAAGTATTATGCTAATCTAACAATAGAGGACTAAAACTTACCATTTTGTTTGTTTGCTTGCACTGACATGGACTGCATTCTTTGACCACTCCAATAGGTCCCATTCGGTTGTCCGGCCATCGTAATGGAAAAGTAGAATTTGAAAATCCTCAGAAAACTACCTCAACATGTGAGAATACAAGTGTCAGAAACCTGGAAAATCGAGATTACAAGGGAAAATTGTTCCATTGTCTCTAACCTTTTTAACACATTTATCAATATTAACCATCTGGTCAATACCAACTGTAAATGTTGCTAAATACTTCGGTTTCTTCATCAGATCCTGCGGATTTAAGGAAAGATCAAGATAAGAGACACCGATCAACCGAGAGTAACAGGACGCAGGGAATTATATTTTAGCACACTGTAATGCATATGTTTCCAGGCTGACAATGATAGTGATAATGATATAGTGCCAAAATGGCCTTAATGCTTGGAACTTTTTATAGTACTATGCATCATACCTCACTAGGATCACCCCATAATCTGCGAGGGTAGAGGTCGGTCTCCGGAACGACAATTCCCGGAGGTAAAGATTCTGCACCGAGAGGATTTGTTGGAACATAAATCTGGGAAAACATAGAAGCAGAAAGCAATTGTAAAAAAGGATCAAAACCGAGCCCCGTGATGTAATTCTAAACAAACAGTGCTGCTCAACACAAGAAGCTGGAAAACAGAATATAATGGTTCAAGAACATAGGCGCAGACAAAACACACTCCCTGATAATTTACTAAATATATGCTTAGGATAGCATCGACGAATCTTTTCCTTACAAGTGACAAAAGATTGCAAGAAAAAGGTACGGAGAGTAAGCAACAAGCACCTTGGAAATATTTCTTCGAATTGTTTCGGAAGATTTGATAATATAGAATTGTTTGCTATTAGATGCAGCTACATCAACAGACAGTCCAAGCTTGAAGGTAAGTTTAGAATCTGCAGGGATTAGGAACAAATCAAAAGAATGATAGAGCAACTACGGCGTAGCTAGATAGAAACAAAAGCAAACGTACCCTGTCGAGGGAAACCGATGGGAAGGAAACACCAACGAAGAATCCGAAAACAGCTCCAATAGTTGTTGTGATAATGAACCTGGCACTACAGTTCTTCCTACAAAATCCACACATAAGAATGCTGCAAGTTTCAAAACAATTTCTTGCACCAGAAGTTTATAATACCGAAAAACAACATGTTCTAACTCCTAACCTCCGTTTCATGCTTCCCATATCGGTAAGCTCGATTCAAACCTTTAGATGCCCACAAGAATTGTGATCTCCCATAAGTACCTTACCAACATTCTTCGAGAACACCAAAGCAATGCAACTTTTATCTTTCAACATAATACAAATTCAACAAGCTATTCAAGCGAGTCACCACATAAGCCATGGATTTAACTCAGCCAATGATTAAAATTATACAGTGAAAGAAATAGACAATCCTCTAAAAATCATGCTTCTTTTTTTTAAGAGAACATTTTTTTAATTATGTGCAAGGAAAAGAAGGTAAGTCATGCCAGTCAATTTCTTCATCTTCATATTAAAAAGATCACATTGAAAACCAAAACATTTTAAATTTAAGGGTCAAAATACCTTTCTTTTATGGAGAATTTCAAATTTCAAGAAGATAAAACTAAAATTATGAAAAATTTCCATGAAGTAATTATTTTTATAAAATAAAAATCAATCAATCAAAAACAATGCTTGGGTTAAAACATTACCTGCCTTTTTCTTGGTTATAAATTGATCATATAACTGAGATGAAACAGAGGAAATGAGAGTTTTCTATTCACATAAAATTTTGTGTTGTTTAAAGGGGATTAAGAATCGAATTAAATTAATTAATTATACTTTTAAATTGAATTAACTAGAAAATGTAAGAACTTTTAATAATTTCATTGTATATATTGAGTTGCCTAATTTAAATTTCACATCTAATTTTCACTTAAGATCATTATTTTTTGGTTAAAAATTTAGTAAAATGGAAAGGAAAGATTCCTAATTTATTTTAAAAATGACAATTAATTTATTTTAAATAACAATAATTTACTGAAAATAAAAATTCAAAATATTTAACATTTATTTGAATTAGATTTTATATATATTACTGGATTTTTTTTTCATATATTTGAAGAATTATAAACATATAAGGAATACAAATTTTGTGTTTCATTGAATAACATCAAACGATTCAAATCAAGGAAGAAACAATGTTAAACCTTTGTTTCCCACTGTTTCCTCCAGTGACTATATCAGCAGAGTGAAAAGTTTTATAAAAAAATGTTACATTGTTGATCTTCATTTTTCTGAAAAAGAATAACTGAATAACTAACGATTTTCGATCAAAGTAACTTCGAGCATCGCTGTGGCAGACCGGACACGTTATCGACAACCACGATCTCCGTTGCGTTATCACATCGTAAAACATCTTGACCCAACTTGGCTCCGGCTGTTTTAAGCCCTTTCAACGAAACAGGTTGGTTGAAAAGGTTAAGTGATGGCAGCTTTGAAGCTGGTGGTAGCTTCCCATTAGGCAACAATGACCTAAAATCTTCCATCAACAATGGGACTTCGAAATCCGACTTGTCATGCCTAATCACATTGTCCTTTGCACTTATGTGAGCCCCCGGTTCCATATGATTCGTCGAAAAGCTAGCCTGGTTCGGGAAATTGGGGTAAAGGCTAACATATCCTCTGAGATACATCATGTCAATGAGGAACTTCTTCCATGAAGCTTGCCAACCATTTGTTCTGGATTTTGGGATTTGAACTGGGTTTGCTTTTGCATCCTCGGTGAATCTCATGTTCATATAAACATAGAATTCCCTCCAAAGCTTGGGGAAGAAAACTGCACCCCAACTACAAGGTAGCTGGTGGAGGTACGGTGTGTTCGGGTGAATGCGCTTGAAGAACTCGGTCGGATTCCATTTTGGTCTTTCCTTCACGACTTCGACTAATCGAGGAGTGTAAAGAGAGATCGACGAGAGTTCAGGGAGGGAGATTTGAGGGTCATAATGGTATGCTAATAGAGCATATTTAATCCATAGGAAGTAGTATGGGGAGACTTCGATATCGTCCTCGAGAAGTAGACCGTAGTCATCGTCGGATGCCGGGTACCAACTCTCGCTAACTGCTCGAATTAGCCCCCCTTGAATGATCCTCCTCCTCAAGGTTTTAGGACCATGAGGCCACTCAAATGAATCTACAAGTTTAATGGTTGCCTCATCCACTTTGCTATCCATGTTGAAGCTAATAGGAATCTCATCTCCAATATAGTATGCATCACTCAAAGATTTAAGAAGCCTTGTTAATGATTGGGCCCGGTTTTGAGTAATTATGTTGATGGATATCCTCATCCGGTTCCAATCTGCAATTCACAATTGATCATTTAGATGATTGTTCACCAATTATATATGTGTGTGAGAGAGAAAGAGAGAGAGTATAAAATATACTTACTTGGTAATGCAGTTGATCTTAGATCAGCCATCCATAGAACCTTTGAGACCGAAGGTCTAGGTAAAAGGACCAGTGCAGTACCGTTCGCATTCGTCTCGGACGCCATCTTCAAGGCTTTCTTCACATTGGAATCAATATCTGCCAATGTGATCACCACACTTGGGTTATGCATTTTTATCAGCCCTCTCATGCTAGAGTACACCGCTTGCAAAACTGGGACCTCTGAGTTCGATGTTCCCGAAATCGCTCCGATATGCAAATCGAAAATCTTAAACCTTCTCTCTTTACAAACCAGCTTCGGCCATTTCAGAGCTGCAGCAGCATATTCACAAGAGCAGAAATCGCCCCCAGAGACAACAATGTAAGCCTTCTTGCCAAAAGTGGACCTGAACTTTTCGAGCAACGGTGCAAGTGCCTTAACCTCATCGACCGAGTGAGCGTAAAAGAAAGCATCGATCTTTTGAGAATTCATTGCAGCCCACTGGGTCACATAACCAGTAGTTAATGCCCTCCACCATTGATCATCTCTTACTTGGACAATGTCCTTGAAGATCACAGTGGTTTCTGAGACATATGCAAGCCTATGTTCACTATCACCCCAAGTTTCCTTGTCAGTTGGGTCAACTGGAAGTACAAATGAGCCTGCATTTCTGTACTTTTGAAGCTGATAGCTGCAACAAAATTATAATATCATATTGAAAATTTTTATATATTTGAAGGATATTCTAAGAATTATATCCAATATTCATGTTCAGATAAGTAACAGACAAGAGAATTAAATACCTATAATTCAAGAAAAAAATGAAGACTCTGATTAATATATAGTTTAATGATGGCTAGATAATGCTATACAGAACCTTAAAAGTAAATGCCCCTTCCAGCCATAAAACTATTAAATGCAAGAAAATAATTTAAAACAGACAAATAAGTGATTGTAGAAATATCAGTAGTGGAAACATGATACTGAGTATCCATCCATTACTGAGACTAACATATAAAATATTCCACCTTTTTCCTGGAAAGAGATTTATTATATCCAGAGAAGTAACCAAATGATGACTAATATATTGTAGCATAAAGAAGATTCTTTAACACATTTCATCAAACATGTAGGGAGCTCTCTGCTATAATCAATATTTCCTCAAATAAGATTAAAACATACTTTGTGATGGAAGCGGAACACACATTATACTAATGAAAAGATTTTCATATTCAGTAAAGACCAATGATTATAAGAGTTTTCAGTGATGGTAAAAACGTACCTAAGGTGAAGATCTTCACCAGTCAAGAAAGTGAAAGGTGTTTCAATGAAAAGTGTCTTGACAAGCTCAGCAGATAAGAACCAAGAGCTCGAAAGGAAATCGACCTGCACGATTTTATCCACGGTGATATCGTAGGCAGGGTCGGGTAAGTAAAGTCCGGCCTCTTTCGATCTGAATTTCCTGTAGCTTGGGAATCTGAAATCCTTTTGTCTGAAAGGTAGGATCCTGCCTATGCTGCCCAAAACTGAGTTCTTGTACTTTTCGGTCCCTGCTACATGGGATAAAATCTGTAGCATTTTCTTCCCCGGAATCATGTCGTCGTCGAGGATGTATACGAGATCGGCTTCTGTTTGTAAAGCCATCTGGAACCTACCGTAGTATTTGAAATCGTAGCTCGAACTGATGAAGCTGATCCTCGAATCGTTGTAGCTGTCGACGATTTGTTTCAAGGACTGCTCGTTCGGGCTTCCGAATGAAAGCACCCAAACCTGATGGAATGGAAGCGTCTGTTGCAGCAAAGAATCAAGCTGTGAACAGAGTGTTTTCCTCTTGAAATGGTTCAACAGCACCGTCACTTTTGGTCGTGTTACAGCGTGAATATCCCACCTCGATTTCATTTCCATTAGCTCGGCTAGAGTTTCGGTACCGATTGTCTTGCTCTGGAAATCAAGTACCTCGTCGTACAACTCTGTCTTCAGCTTGATCATTTGAACATCAGTTGACTTCTTCTGCAAGAAATCAATCTTCTCGTGCTCGCAAACTTCGGATGGCATAATTAGACGGATTTCAGCTCCGATGAGCGAAGAGCTGGCGTCTTGGTGCCGGCTGAGAACGTGCGGGGTGACAATCAACTGTTTCATGTTCCTCGCGATCCTTGTGGCCCAAGTAAAGTCCGGTTTCGTCCCTAAATCGACCGCCGGACTCATGTAATACAAAAGGAACGTAGCATACACCGCAAAGACTAATTGCAGGCAGGTAAGAGCCGTGACAAGCCGAGTGGAGGCGCTTTTCGGAGCTTTGGCCTTAGCTTTTCCTCCGACGTAATCACTAAACATTCCTTCCAAGAAATCCCCACTTCTCATATTCGGATTCCGAACAAATCCCATTTTTTACATAAAAAAATAAACGTAAATGCTTTGAAAAATTCGAGCTTGAAGAAGAGAGAGAGAGAGAGAGAGAGATGGAGTGGTGCCGTAGAAGGTGGCGGCGAAAGGCAATGGATCCTATGGCATATGGCACAGTATATTTATACACTAAAAAGGTAAGCGATGGGTAGTCACGAGAAGGTCACATTGGACGAAACGTTTATTATTAATAAAGTTAATTAAGAAATGAAATTTGTGTACGCGTCGCCTTCACTACTTCCTCATGCAGCACTTCAAGAAAGCCGATTTTAATGGCGTATGAAA